TATATAATAATAAATATATAATAATAAATCCGTCACAGTTGTTACACTAATCATTTTTGACATTCTAGATATTGATGAGTGTCAGATGGAAATCCATCAGTGTCATGCCAACTCAGAGTGTGTCAACATGCTCGGATGGTATTACTGTCACTGTCGACCAGGTTATAAGAATCAGCTGACAGATAACCATTATGGAATGATGTGTCAAGGTACGTTAAATGGTCGTTCTTCTTTTAAATTATCTCTTACTAAAGAAATAACATTTGGCTAAAAACTTTTAAAAAATCTCCTGTGAATGTGTGTTTTGTGTGTAAGGTTCGTGATATCCAAGAGTAATGATGTTTTTAAGTCTGAGACAAATTTAAGGTATTATTAACACTTTCTTCTAAAACTTAATTTTGGATTAGTTATTTTTTCCTCTCATGAAGAGAACGTTTAAACTAAAAGTGTTTACTTTATCTTTCTAAAGATATCGACGAATGTGTTACCAGCTCTCATACGTGCCACCTTTCAACAGTTTGTGTTAATAAGGAAGGAAGTTATCAGTGTGATTGCAAGGAAAATACCACGTGCTCTCTAAGTTAGTGCTAATATGTCTCGAACAGTATTTATTTATAACATTAAATTTAAAGTATTATAGTTGATTAAGAGGCCAACTTTGCCAAAGTTTTAGCTTTGTTAATTGCTAACCAGGATATAATTTATTTTAATTAAATAATCCTTTGTGTTTGAATATTTAGTTTTGAAGCTGTTTGGATAAATGTGTATTTTATTGTTTTAAAATTAAATTAAAATGTGACTTTTTCTCTCTCTCTCTCTGTAATTGAAAGTTTTTTTTGTTTTTTTATGAATGTTATTTCGGATATTTTAAGTTAAGACTTGCAATTAACTATTTAAATGAGTGTGTTCTCATTATTTAATTCTTGCCCTTTTTGTTTAGAATAACAAACTAATTAGTTAGGTTTGACATTTATTTCAGATTGTATGTATTATGGAACTGAGATGCCAGATGGCGACATATGGATATCAGCTGATTCGCCTTGCACAGAGTGTTCGTGCAACGGCGGTGTCGTTACATGTCAGAAACAAACTTGTGATTGCAGCAGGACTGACATCAATCTTGACTGTTGTCCCCAGTGTGATACCACATCCTTCTGTCGTCATCAAGAAGCACCAAGAAATTTTCATAATGGAGAACGTTGGGTTTATCAGTGCCAAATTTGTGAATGTTTAGTATGTTCAATATTCTTATCGTTGTTTTGTTTTCGTTTTTTGAGTAATTCCTATTGAGGCTGAGGCCTACATTTTTACCTTTTAATAAAATGCAGTTTTAAAATCTCGGATAAAATCACTTTTTCTAGTTTAACTGTATATTTATTCATTTAGTTTAATTAACAAATAAATAATACTCAAATACAGTAATTCCAATACTTGAGCTATTATTTGGACTTTATTCAAAGTATACAAATTTGTTTGTGACAAATGAATAATTAACTTTTTAAGGAGCGAAAGCTCTTAAATCTACTTAATAAATTTAGAAACGTGTTTTAATGTGAACTGAAAGGTAGTTAGTACACATTTATTACTATACGTAATTTATTTCCCAAAGTTTGGAGAGATAGATTGCTGGGAAATAGAATGTCCACCGGTAACGTGTGACCATCCCGTTCGACATACTGGGGATTGTTGCCTTCGTTGTCAGGATGATGTATGCAGTTCGAAAACTTTCTCTAGTGATGAGAATAGTGGAAACATCACAACAAACCTTTATCATGGTCGAGGTTGTGCTTACAAAGGATACTCGTATCAATCAGGGGAACCTGTTCCATTCAACCGTGACCCTTGTACCACCTGTAACTGCAAGGTAAAGTTATCTACTATATTTTAGCTTGAACATTTATTTTCCAGTAACTCCCGAACAAGGACACTTAACAGGATTTATTACCAAATAGAAGTAGGTGGTACAATATATTTTGTTCGAAAATAACTGTTTTATAACTAGTATTGAAACTGATTTCCTCTATATAGTTTTTAATTATCCATAATAAATTTAGTAACTTAGTTTTCAGTCATTCCTTTAAATTTATGGAAATGATTTATCTACATTTTCACCTTAAATATCTAGTTTAAAGTTAACATTATTATTTTTTCAATTGTACATATGTATTTAAATTGACTTGTTCCGTACCAATTAATCTGTTAATTAATATATTCACACGTGTGTGTGTGTGTGTGTGTGTGTGTGTGTGTGTGTGTGTGTGTGTGTGGATGATGATGATGATGATGTGTGGTGGCATTTGATTTAGTCTCGTATGGTTTTGATACACGAAGATGTAACATATTTCTACCCATATTCTACGGTTATATTCTAAACTGTTCTAATACTGCCTGTCTTTTTTGCCTTTTGTCAGTTTCTTTTTTCGTTCTTTGGTAAGATACTATTTCACGTACAAAAGTTCTAACATATAAATATTTTATAAATACACAATTCAAAAAATTGTAAAAATCATCATGGCAATAAAATAATTTGTCTGTGTTGCTTGCTTTCCAGATTAACTAAGCTGCTTGATAGTTGATACCATGAACTAATTTTCGTTGTTCAAATGGTGCGAATTTTCTCATGACATACTGGAGCAGTTTGTATGATAGAGAAATGCTTTTTTAAAACCTCTAAGATTAAAAACTAAACATAACAGCTTATTTATATATAAGCATAAAAATTATTTCTGTACAGTAAGAGAAAAAATGTTCTAATTTGATATTAGCATATTTCTAAAAAAAATTCGTATCAAAAGGTTAATGTTAATCAATTACCCCTCTTCATAAGACCAATGTTTGGCATTCTATTACTTCCCACTTCTGCTGCTTTAAAACAAAACTTAAACCATTTAAATAATTACTCTAAATTTATTTGTGAAGCAGAATAAATTATAAAAGTAATTTTAATACTATTTAATGGGTATTTAGGTTTTCATTATAACTGTATATTTTAAGGAACCTTTAAGAGTCAGAAACTTACCATTTTCCTGGGCATCTTATTGCAGAGGAAGAGCAGCCAGCACTTGGTGAGCAATAGAGCATTTCGGTAAAACCCAGTTATTTTATTTTATGTCTTCACCTTTAAGCACTGCTTGATGTAGTACACTGTTCTTCTCTCTATTTCCAGCACTTATTCCGCACATCTGTCTGTTCTTTTCCCTACAGCTAGGTAAATTGTTCCACCAATCAGTTGACAGTGTCAGAAACAAGATTTCATTTAGACAAAAAATATCAACTACAGCGCAAACTTTTTAAACCTTTCATTCTAAATAAGATAATTTCATATTCAGTACTTTGCTTGCATTATAATATCACTATAAAAATGAAATATGTTAATCTGTAATAGCTTGTAATGATTAACGTGCCTATATTCCATCAGACATTTCGATGTGCATCGTGATATTAAATATTTCTTCTGCTACAACATTAAGTGACATGTCCCTATCATTGCAAACTTTCTTGCGTTAAAACTACCTTATTCCTATATTACAATATTTTCTAGTAATGATTATGCTTCTCTATTACATTATTGGTCGAATACATTGAATATAATGTTTCAAGTTAGGTGCTTCTATGAGCAGAATTTTCAATCAGCAAAATATTTAATTTGATTATTTTTACTAAATTCAAATTTTATTTAAGACAGTATTCAATAAGTGTAAAAAAAAAAAACTGAAAAGAAAGCTTAAACCAGTTTTTTTCAAATGGTGGGTTGCGACCCCCTTGAGGTTCGCCAACAGGTTTCCAGGGTGGGTCACGAGATGTCTGCACTTAGTCAACATTTGTTTTTAGCCCTCGAGGTGTCACCTTTGTTATGTACTATGACGAACTGTTTTTCATCCTTGTATAGACAATAGGAGTCGCGACGACCAAAGTCCGGTCGCGGAAGTTGTCTGGGAAATCCGGCTGAGAAACACCGTCTTAAACTAAATAGTATGAATAAACTAGGCTAGAAACACCGTCTTAAACTAAATAGTATGAATAAACTAGGCTAATTTTACTTCAGGATACAAGAGTAATTTATATCTGGTATGGTAAAGCATCGTAATTTTATATAAATACATATTAGGGCTTTTAATATATATATAGTGTATGATATGCAGCTTACATATTAAAATTGACTATATTAAGAGCGATTGAAACTTTCTTTAACATTAAAACTATTAATTTTTTCCCATCCGATAATAAAACTTACCTTATGGTAGAACACTATTTCAAAATGTTCACATATATATATAAACTAAGTATACTGATGTTGGTGAAATAAAGGTAAAATATTTTATTCACTCGTGCATGCAAATTCAATTTTCTAATTACTTTCAAGAGATGAAAAAAATTAAGATGGCATATTAAGTTGAAATACTTTAATTTTACTCTTGCTCATTCAATCGAAAACCCACAATTACATTTAACATTCACATGTTATAATACAACTTTCTAATGATGTTGAACTTAGTACTTCATCTGGCTTGTAACACACAGATGATGTGTTGAGAAATGGCTAGTAGGATCTGACTTTATCTAATTTTTATGCACTTTGTGTCAAACCATAAGATTATTTCGGTTCTTTTTACTTGCGATTTTGTATGTTTGCTCGTGTGTGCATGTTTGTGGTGGTTCTGTACAATTTTCCCGCTTTTTCTATGCAAAAAGGTTGTTCAATCTTATCTTACTCGATTTATTAAAAATTACCTAACCATCACAATGGTAAAATAACCAATATGTTCTAGTCATCACGCTGTTTTTGTTTCCTCACTCTTCTATTTTTTTCAGCATCAATTCTGTTTTTATAGTTTTATCTGGAGGTTAAATACTAGTTAGAAAACAAATTAAGTATAAAAGAAATGTAAAACATTCAAATTATACGAAATATCTAGATTAAATTAATTATTTATGCCAATTACTGCCCTTTGTTTCAGAAATACGGAAACAATGAAGCTTTTACAAACATTGAATTCCAATAGTAATAAATTAGCAAAACCCAAAATTAAAAATATAGCGGTAAAATTTTAAAATGGGAAGGGGCATGTTTCATTGTTTATAAAAAAAAAAACAAAAAAAACAAAAAAAAAACATTAAACGTTTTCTACATCGACCTGAATACTGGAGTAGAGAAACGTTTAAATTTAGAAGTTTTATAATTTAAATTTATGGTTGTATGTAAATGAAATTGGGGTATTCTACATTCAAATACTGAATTCTTTCGGCGCACATTATACCATTTTTTATAAAATGTGTATAAGTGAATGAAAGCTTAATCAGTCTAATATTTTATAAATAATAGTGTTTGTGTGTTTTGTTTAGGCCGGACAGATCTGCTGCACATACAGTCCTACTTGTTATGACAAATCTAGTGTCATTGATAATCTTGCCATCAAGGGCAGATATAGACAAGCTAAGTCAAGTTTTGTACGTGAATCTGATCAGTATCTTCTCAAAAACCAAAAGATGGAAGATCCTTCTGTATCTCCAGAGAGCATTCCTTACGCCAATATTCCTTTTTCAAAGCTTCCCCTGGTGGCAAGTCAAATAAACATTCCTCATGCAAAGATGGAGAATTACCCCGCCAATATGCTTTTAAAAACTACTGGTGGAGATAATCCGAATAGTAACCATGACAGTACTGATGGATGGGATAATGCAGGTAAAGGTATTAGAGAAAAACAAGTTTATTTCAAAGATTTTCAAGGATTCGCAGGAAAACAAGGCAATATTAGGAGTTACCATGATAAGAGTGAAAAATTGGTTTCTCTGCCGGAATTTGGAATACTAAGAAATATTCTGATGTCCACTTCTGCGTCAGAAAGTTTGCTAAAAGATTGATAAATATAAATATCTGGTAAAGGACAGGAATAGTAAGTGTGAAAGCCATTATTAGTCTTTCGCCTTCAGCTCACGTGTAATGTCTTTGTGGAAGCTTCCTTCTCTACATGCTCAGAAGTTCCGGTACAGCTTCAAAATAGAATTAAGAAAAAAAGAGATTAGTATTATAGGATAATATATACATACCTTATCCCTGAACTACGATCATTGTTGTTGTGGCATATCTTAAGAAAAGTAATATTTTCTGATATAGTAATATGTAAAATGTACAAAGGTTTGAGTGCCATTTATATGATGCATTGATTAGTAAGTGATGTCAGACTTGTATATTTATTTAAAATTATTTTCTGGAGAATGCTTTATGGTACTTATAATTGAAGAATGAGTAACAGGTCGTATTTGTTATAAACTGTGGTTATAATTGCTTGTTGGCTAATATATGTATATATATAATATATATATTTACATTTGTGAATACTTGCCTGGTTACACATTTTTGTACTTTATTTATTACACACATTGATGTGTCTAATTGAAACTTACCTTTACTTGTAATAGCATCTGCACAGAAATCTATGTATGTTAACTAAATTATCAAGGCTTTATTTTTGAATAATTGTACAGTCAGCTATAATCTGTTAAGATATACTATTATCTGTTAAGATATACTATACTGTGAAAATTATAACATACACTAATATATAAATACATATATAATCTCTGACACCTGTGCTGTGGTGAAAACAAATGTCCATTATTATTTTCAGGTATTTTCACCACATGATTCTTTCTTTCTGCTAACTCTTTCTTGTAAATTGACTCTCTGTGGTACTTATGAATGAGTTATTCTTTTTTTTTGTTGTTGTTAATTTTTTTTCTGATCATCCTAGTCATTAATAATTCCTTTTATATATAATTTCAGTATCAAAAATGTCATTACCTGCTCAATATTTATTTAATGTTGGTTGTACCTGATAGTTTTTTCCATGTTGTTCATTAAGAGAACTTATATTTTAGGTTTGTAACCCAATAAAGAATATAAAAAAATACTTAATTAAGAAAAGGCTGCCAATTCTAATTCATATTGAACAAGATTTTTTATTTACGCATTGTATTTTTGTGAAATACATACTCAGTTATTTTTCTGTTGGGTTAGATGTTTCAACATGACTATCATGTTTTCAAAACAAAATTCATCTTGTGAGACATTCCACGGAAGATAAGATGAAGAAATATTATTTCTGGTTTTCACAGAAATGATGCAGAGATTGTATTTCTTTTATCGTCTTATCTTTGTCTTATTCTTGAGAAGTTTCTACTAATGTTTTATTTCTTCAACATAATTCTAATAAATAGCTTTACATGTCATCGTAACTGAATTATTAAAAAAAAAGTGCCAACTGAATTCCTCCTAAACCCCCATAAAATGTTTAGTGCATAGACGTGAAAAGTAGATAAAGTACATTTATGGTCTGTTATTTATTTCAATGAAAGTATGTACCCCAAATGTAGCGCATTTTATAACTACGTAAAATTGCCACGATTCTACAAAGTTGTTGATGAATAACTTGTCATATTTTTAAGTTAATTTATGCTTGTTAGTTTCAAAATAGGATTAATTCATACATTCTCGCAATCCTAATTAGAAATCAATATTATTAATACTGTAAAAGTTATTGTTTTGTATTATAAATGAATAACACCACACTGTTACACTATTAGTATCGGAAATTATATGGTTATGGTATTTAGGTGTATAACAAGTTTCTGCTTTGAAAACTTAGTGTTTTATCTATTAAACGTCCTTGTTAATATTTACTTTTTAGCTGTAGGAATGACTTCAAACTATGGTATTTTTTATCAATTATTAACAGAAGCTTTGTTTTTTGGGGAAGCTAGTTTTGGTATCATTAATTTCTTACACATTTCAATAAAGTTTTCACATTACTCACTAATAATATAGCAGTAATGTCACCCTTAAGTTTCTACTAGGATAGAAAACTAAAGATATAGACATTTGCATGAAATCCTTAAATGGTTGAGTTTATTTCTAATTCCTAGTTTTTGTCACTCAGTATAAAAATCCGCAAAGTTTATTAGATTCTTTGCGCAACAGTTCATGAAACTATTCTAATATGTTTGTGTGGCAATGGTTAAAGTGGATTAATTGAATATTCACTAAATATTTATACTCTTCACTAGCCTCGTTATATTACTGTTATAGGTACATATTTATCCAGCGTTTATAACTAATAGTGATGTTGTAGACTGATTAGAGCTTCTTAATGGGCCTGTAATGTATATAAATAATTTCATATTATCAGGTCAGTTTTATTAACTTAACAGGCGTCTTATAAGAATATTTAGGTAAATATATATCAATATAACGAATTGGTTATAGAATAAACAGGAAACCAGTTATTCGTTGTTATCTGTATTTGTTTTGGAAACGTAACGGAAAGACTGAGTTTAAACGTAAAATAGAAAAAAAAATCAATGGGGAAAACATATTGTGATATAATCTAAACTAACGTGTTTTATTAAGTTAAAATAAAAAATCCATTCAATAAATTGGAAAAACACAAACAGAGGAAGAAGCAAACGTGATTTGTTTTCAGCTAGCATATCGATCATATTCCATTAAGCATAGGTTCTAATGTATACTTGTTGTAAAATGAACAAATCTTACAAAATAAAGTAGAAATTTGGGAATCACAACCCACTATGTTTATCATATACAATCCATTAGAAAACTCAAATTATGAAATAATTATGATTGAAGATATGGAGCATATCTGACATTTAACTTCCTTTACTTGAAAAACTGGTTTTGCCTTTATTATCAACACCCTAGATAAAATGTACTGTTAATGTTTTTAATCTTAATATCGTTATTATTGATATTTCATACTGCTCTACAGTCTCATTTTGTGCTCTATGATCCTGAATGTGCGCAATACTCAAATGACATAGGTAATAAATTATTGATGATATAAAAACGGTCAAAATGTTCAAAAATTAAATTTACAAGTTGAATATAACTATTAGAACGTCTAGTCTCCTTTTCGTACGGGTAGTGTATTTCTTTTTCTATACAAATAGTTATCTCTTAATCAGTGTTTAACCTTTAGTAGACTATTTGAGTTATACTTCATAGGATGTTATCAATATTATTTAAAGAGTGAGTTGATGATAATTTATAATAGTAACATTATACTTGAATCATCTTCTTTCTACAGTGGTTGCAAATAAAAATTATTTTAAGTGATAGAGAGAAATGGGTTGTATTTTGGAAAATTGGTTTCTGACTAAAAGTGCGGTAAGAATTTGTATTTGTAAAATGAAGTAGGCAAGAGCTGTACAAGGGTTACTTCGTGTTTAGAATAACTTTTAATTTGTGTCATAAGTGTTATATCTATAAAAAAAATTTAAACACCCTGTAATTCTAGATGAGTGGCATAATGCTATTGTGTTAACTCTTACCTTTATTTACTGTTGTATTTAGTCAGATTTCAAAGCTGAATTAAAAGTCATTCCTATACTATTACCTTATGTGTGTGTGTGTGTTTATTATTGGAACCCTAAGGTTGAAGTAAGTTTGATAGATAACCTTTAAGGTAAACATCACAGTTTTAATAGTTTAGAATTGATGTAAAATTACTTGAGGATGATGCTAGACAGACATTAAGTTTCATGACCATAAAATACAGAGGAATTTATTTTCTTTATTACGAAGCCAAATCTCTGGTAAAATTCTTACTATAATGGACTTGGCATAGGAACGAGAGCACGTCGTTTGGGGCGACAAGACACCAATTACAACAGAATTATTTAAAAACCCAGGATATGCAGTCGTGAGTCGATACACAAGTCAACTAACTCGAGGAAATTTACAAATAAAGCAAGGAATAAATGACAGTTCCGTTCTACAGAAGAGGATATATACTTTATCAACACTTATGAACATGAAGGCTTCCACTGCATTAACATTTATTAACATGAAGGGTTATACTTTCGTCAACATTGATTAACATAACGTTTATACTTTCAGTAACATTTATTAGTTCCATAATGTTTCTAACCTTAACACCTTATCTATGTTACTTAGTTAACTTTAACGACTTTTGAATTATACGTCATGGTTCCTCTTGGCAGTATTATCATTTAAGGGAAAGTAACAATTAAAACTTGCGTGGAGTTGGTGTAGTACAAGTCTTGCACGTATATGTAAACTGCCATTCTGTCTTGAGAACTTAGTTGAAGAACTGGAGCAACTGGAAAACTTTGAACCCTCTGGAGCAACCTCGAGGCCTGGACACTCTGCTGTCGGGGACAACCTTGCTTTTGGTCAGACACATCGATTTTTAAATGATTTTCATCATAATCCATCCAAACTCATTGGAGTAGACTTCGTGTTGATTTGTTCAGCAATTAGAGTGGACTCGTCTTTCTTTAGGGATTGGTGCCCTATGATCCAGGATTGGACGTTAAATGGCGTAAAAGGTTACCTGTGTATACAATTTCTCACTGTCTTGAATAAACATCTTTCCGACCAGATTACAATTGTTGATACATTCACATCTGTTTAGACTTACACAACTGTCTAGTTAGAACCACCTTACGCGAGAATCCCCTCGATTCTCACTGATATGCAGACGATGTTTAATACGGTGCGAGTTGTTCTTGACAGGTGTGTTCGACGTTCGTCTTTCGTTAGCATTTCACAACACGTCCGCAAGACTACAGCTCTTAAGAAAGCTTAGTCGAAATGTGTTTATTTTAAAGGGGCAGTTTAGCCCGTGAGAAAGCTTAGTTGAAGCATTTGTATATTTTCAAGTGCTTCATATGTAACCAAAGCTCCTGACAACACAAACAAAAATCCATAAATTTCACACTTTGGGTATTCAAGTTACAGACAATAATAAAAAAAAAACCCAAAAAAAACTAGTGGTATGTGCAACCACCTTTTATACTTAATAGAACACAATTTTAAATAACAGCATTCTCCTCACAACAAGTATACGACTTTCATTGGAATTGTAAGTAAGGATTAGGTTATATCTTTATTGGTGTAATTTTTAAATGTAGTACTGAGAAACTGGAGTTCTTAAAAATAAATGTTTTTTTTCAATAAACAGTACCACTTTTAACAGG